GTGGTTTGTATAAACCAAAATGTCACTGATCTCCTATGGTCTACAGGGTGAGTGCCAGGACAGCCAGAGCTGTTACCCAGAGAAACCCTGTCTTGAAAAACAAAAACAAACAAACAAAAAAAACCCACCAAAAATAGTGTTCAAATGGCTTCTGGTCATTTACCATTCCCAGTATTCTTCAAAGAGTAATTTTCTGGTTAGTATTGAATTATTTCTCCACTTATTTCCTCAGGATAAATTCCTAGAAGTGAAACCGGTTGCTCAAAATCATTTCAGAGCTTTGGAAATTTATTGCTAAATGAACTTCCCAGGAGACTATCATTTCACTCACCACCCCCCAGCAGCAGAACCTAGTGCATGCTCTTTCTCCAGTGCTTCTGACAGCATAGCTCACCCATCTGCTTTAAAATTAGGAAAATAACTCACGAACATATGCCCGCAGCAGGTGCAAAACTCTAAAATGTTTTGTTATGCAATCCTAGCTTGCTATGATATTGATAGCAGGTAACATTTATGATATAGTCACCATGTCCCAGGTAGTATGTGACAGGAATCAATTCCTTTTTAACCTTCCAGGTAATCCCATACGGTAAGTATTGTTATCAACACATCACATTTGAGGAGAGCCAGGCACAGAATGCTAAAAGGAGCTGTGGTCTCAGTGTGTCTTCCAAAGCATTATGGACCAGGAGCTTCTGAGTGAGAAAGCCTAGCGGGAGGCCATGAGCCTCGGGAGCATAACCTCTGCAGTGTAGTGTAGTTCTCGCAGGAACCCGTTTTCTCTCTGGCTTCCTGTCTCACCGTGTGATCTTCCCTTCTCATACATGCTTCCACAGCTGTGATGATAGCCACCAGTGAGACAGAAAAAGCTCATTTCTTTATGAAATATCTGAGACTTACGTATTTCACTGTAGTGACAAAGTGACTAAACCAACAAAGTAAGAGTCTAAGGAAATGGGGGATGCTCTATGATTTTATTCACCCCGGCTACAGCCTACTACAAACTATGCATTTGCATTGTTGACTGTCCTTGTTAATGATGTTAAGTGAGACCTTTCAGATCAAGATTCATGATAGCACCCTGTACTAGATATTACTCTCTAGGGAGAACAGAACAAATAGACTATATGTCGACATTGAGCTAAGGAGATAGCTTAGTGGATAAGGCGCTCATTTCACAGGCGATAGGACTTGAGTTCAATACGGAGAACCTGTGTAAAACAATCCAGGCATGGTGGTATGCCTTTGTAATCCTAGCATTTGGGAAGTGGAGACAGGGCTGCTTGGGGCTCACTGGCCAGCCCCTCTAGTCAAATTGGTGAGCTCCAGCCACCACAGGCCCAAAGTTACTCTACTTTCTTTTGAGGGCAAGTCTCAGTTTAGGAGGCTAATGTGGGTAGGCCCAGCCCACGGTATTGGGGGACAGGGCCTGGGTAGGTGGTCTTGGTGTATGTAAGAAAGCAGGCTGAATGAGCCACGAGAACAGAACACTACTAACAAGCAGTGTTTCTCCATGGCTTTTGCTTTAGTTCCTGCATTTAGGTACCTGCTTTAACATTTCTCAATGATGAGCTGAGAACTCTACATTGAAATTGAAAGACCTCGGCATCAAAGCGCCGGGCACTAAACCGAACCCTCTGCCCAAGAACCGGGGCCAGACCACTGGCTGCAAATGCAAGAGGTGATTTATTGAGTACACAGGTGCCTGCGGATGCTACTGCAACTCAGGTGCAGAGCATACCGGGCTTGCAGGGAGTATAATATTTATAGAGTTGTAATGGTTACATAAGTAACAGGCATTTCATTGGCTCATCTTGGGGGTAGTTCCCACGGACTAAGTTTCCTGGTATTACTTTATGAAAGACCCCGGCACGCTTCAACAATTATTATCCGGGTCCCATGACTGCTCTGGTGACCACAGATCCTGTTGGACATCCTGCCAGCTGGGCGAGGCACCTGGTCTGGGTTTCTTTCATTAGGCAACGGCCTGGCCTTGCTTTTCTTTTCCTAGGGGGTCCTGGGTAGGGGTCTTTCAAAATAAGCCCTAAGTTGCTTTTGGTAATGGTTTTTTATCATAGCAATAGAAACCCAAACCTAAATATCATGTTTGGGTTTTGTTTTTTGTTTTTGTTTTTTTTTTTTTTAAGAAAAAAAAAAGCCAGGCTTGATGGTGTATACTTGTAATCTCAGCATTGAGGGTGTAGAGACTGGCAGATCTATAGGGCTTGCTGGTCAGCCAGCTTAAGATCCATGCCAGTGAGATACCCCATCTCAAACAAACAAACAACACTCCCCCAAACAAAACCACAACAGCAGCAACAACAAAAAAGAGGACAGCATCTGAGAGACAACAGACAGCTGAGATTGTCCCCTGGCCTCCATATGCCTGTGTTCCCCCCACACAACACACACATACATGTGCCCATACACAAAGAATCCTACCCTATAGGGACTACATGACTGACAGATGGCCAGCTTGGGGGATAGAGTTGGCTTTCAGCCCTAGCCTGCACCACCCTTGGGCTGGCAAGATGATTTGGTGAGTAAAAGTCCTTGCTGTGCCAATGTGAGAACCTGGATTAGAACCCTCAGAACTCACATGTAAAAGCCAGACACACGACTGTGTAGCCTTAATCCCAATGTTCCTACAGCAAAATAGGAGGTGGACATGACAACATCTGGAAGCTTGCAGGCCAGCACGATGGTCTGTACAACAGCCAAATGACAAAAAAGACCCTGCCTCAAACGAGGTGGAAGGTGAGGGCCAACACCTGATATCAGTTTCATATATATTCCAACACACACACACACACACGCACACGCACGCACGCGCGCACACACACGCACGCGCACACACACGCACGCACACACACACGCGCACACACACATACACACACGCACACACACACACAATACGAAGGAAAGGAAAGGGTTCTCTACCATACCCCTTAGGTCAGCTCACCAACTTTCCTGGTTTCTGGGGACTGTCATAGTCTCAGGACCAGCAGCCCATGTTGTTTTCTGTTCTCTCTAACACTGTGTGTGTGTTGGGGGGTGTGTGCCTGGGGGAGGGTTCCAGGGGTACACTTTTAAGTCACAGACCCCAGAAAACATTAAACACTGGGTCCCAAACACCTCAGGGACCCCATACCAGCCATGCTACTGTGCCCTACTTTTCCATGGCTCTCCCCTCTGGGCCTGACCTCAGATGATCCAAAACCCAGGTAGAGAGGATGAGGGCTATGGTAGGGGCATGAACAGAGAGGCTAGCTGGTCAGACCCGGTCTCTCTCTGGAGTGTCAAGGCATGGAGTGGGCTTAGCTTGTGGGAGGCTAAAGTTTGGTGCATTGTGTGTTCTAATGGTTACAGCTTGCTTGTACTCCAGCTTGGATATTTTAAGTCACCGCAAAGAGACTTAAAAGCACACAGAAGCCCCGTGGGAGCTGCCACAGAGTCCCCGAGGGACAAAAAGGAATGCTGGCATAGGTCAGTGAGCAGACTGAGGCTGCTGGTGACTGTCCAGTGCTGGAGTAGCCATTTCTGGGGCAGTTACATGGAACAGCACTGTGTGACCCACCCAGACCTCTGTCCCTTCTCTCAACCAAGGCAAGATCACAACACCAACCATCATGTTTGGCTAAGGAAAAAGGTTAGGAGCTCGGAATATCCTCTTGCTGCCTTCCTCCTCTGAGGGAACAGTCCATATCCCTTAACAGGCACAACACGTACCTCTTCATGAAGCAGCCATATAAACCCATAGCTTGCCTGCCTCTGCAATACGCTGTGATAGCCCTTTATACACATTATCTTCATTTGTCGTTTATAAGTCACCTGTAAGGCGGCATCCTCAATCTTCAGAGGCTCAGGGAGGAGAAAGCGTCTGTCTAGCTTTTAAGCAATAAAAGTGACTTGAAACCAGCTTTACCTGTGGCTGTTCCTGGCACCCCTGCAGGGCTTTGTACATTAAACACTTTCTCTCACTGAGCTATGCCCAAGCCTCAGCTTCCACCACAATTCCATGCATGGACATAATATATTTCGATCACATACTGCCATATTAATTTCTTTTACATCCCTCACACTCCCTCCTTTTCCCAACAAGTCCCTGCTACTTTTACATCTTTTTTGTGTATGTGTGACCCACTGAGTTTAATTAGGGTTGTTCAGGTGAGCATAGGCAACTTGCCAATGGCTAAACCACTGAAGGAAATGACTCCTTCCCAACTCCCAGCCACCATTAGCTGCCCTGAGTTCTTCAGAGAAGGGTGGAGACTCAGGAGCCCCTCACCCAGCTTCCTTAATTTATGTGGGGAGTTTCTAGCTCCTCTGGTAACTGGGCATCTTCACACTGGAGTTCGGGTAGGGTAGCTGTTTTCATACTTGCCAAGCTGCTTGGGGCTCAACGTGGTTATTTTTTAGTTAAATTGACCTTCATAACCTTGCCTTGGGTTCTACCCACACTTAATCATGTAATTTCCTGGGAAGAAAAACACATCCTGGATTCTAAATAGCAAAATTCCAAACACACTGTTGGGATGCAGGCTTATTTGTGAGTTAGGGAATGTCTCCTGTAAACTGTTTTAGTTTGCATGACAAGAAAAAACAAACTGGGCTCTTTTGTTATGCTGTTTGGGGTGTCTGTTTAAAATAAGACAGAAGTGAAGCTGTGCTGCCCTTTGTCCATTTTAAAGGACATCTACTTTGGAATCATTAACTCATAGGAGGCCTAGGGAGGCAGTCCAGTAGGTAGAACATGCCTTGCATGTATGAGGCCCGGTATTTGAGGGCCAGCACTGCGTAAACTGGGTTTTTGTGGTGCTTCTGGAAGTGGAGCCAGGAGGATCAGCAGCTTATCCTTCAGCTACACAGTGGGATAGTGGGATAGTGATGCTCTGTCTCGAAAAACAAACACAAAAGTATCTCAGGAGTGTCTGAGAATAACTATGCTGCCTTAGCTGGGGTTTCTACTGCTGTGATAAAACACCATGACCATAAGCAACCTGGGAAGAAAAAGGTTTATTTCATCTTACAGATTGCAGTCTATCATCCAGGGAAGTAAGGGCAGGAACCTGGAGGCAGGAATTGACATAGAGGCTATAGAGGAGTCATGCCTGCAGTGTATTTGGCCCTCCCACATCAATCATCAATCAAGAAAATGCACCTTAGACTTGTCATTAAGCCAGTCTGATGGGAGTGTTTCCTTAGTTGAAGTTCCTTCAGTTGAAGTTCCCTCTTCAAAACAACTCCAGGTTGTCTCAAGCTGACAAAAAACTAGCCAGCATATATTCACCACTGGGAAAAAAATGCATGGTCTGGGGTTGGGGAGAGGGCTCAGCTGGTAAAGTACCAGCTTGCAAAAGCATGAGGACCTGAGTTCATATGCCCAACATGCATATAAAAGTGGACATGACACACATCATTCACTCCAGCATTCAGGATAGAGGTGGAACCCTGGATCTCACTGGTTAGCCGGTCTAATCAACTGGTGAGTTCCAACCACGTTCAGTGAAAGAGACCCTGTCTCACAAAAATGATGGAGAGCACCTGTAAAAGATACAGGATGTGAACCTCCCTCCCTCCCTCTCCCTCTCTCTCTCCCTCTCTCTTCCTCCCTCCCTCTCCCTCTCTCCCTCCCTCCCTCCCTCCCTCCCTCCATCCCTCCCCCTCTCTCCCCCACCACGCATGCCTGTCCGGTCTAGCCTTCGCTTTGCGCTAAGCTAGGTTTATGATCTTGAATGTGTCACTTTAATCGTCAAGGCATCACTTCTCAGTCTGAAGAATACAGGGTGATTCTAGAAAACCCTCTTCAGCTCTCACAGTCTAGGGACCACAGGGATTCTCAGGTGTAGAATTACAAAAGAGAGGTCTGCTTGGAAATCCCACTACTTTCTTCTACTTCCCTTTGTAGACCTGAGAGGGAATCAGTGCTCTTGAGTTATGGCAGAAGGCAAAAAGGGAAAGTCAGGTTCTTTTGGGTGAAATGGAGCATTTAATGATGGATAAGCAGAAAGATGCCTGATAGGCCTTTTTCTTGTTGGGTGTTTGGTTAATCTATCAGAAACTCCTGGCATGCTAGTGACAACCTGCATTGAAAAGGGCGGAACTTGGCTCCCCTGCCCTTCCAGCTGTAAGAGCTTGGAAGCAAAGCTGTGGGGAAAGTGTCTTTCATTTCCCTCTGGAAACTCTGGAGCGTTGGGTTTAGCTTTTGCCAACTGTGCAATGTGGGCTGCCTTCTAAAAGAAGCCTTTTTTGTGGCGGTCTTTTAGGCCGCAGTACCCCGTTGGCATTCATGGCCCCTTGGAACAAAGCCTGCTGGAAAGTCTGGTACTAACTGCACCAGCATGGGAAGAAACTCATTTGCTAATGGGGGGAAAAGGCTTCAATATGTCCTCAGGGTCTTTAGTTAAGCTAAGATCTGATTTGTGTCCCTGTCTGTTTTCCCTCCATCTCTCTCTACACGTGCAGCTTATACCATAAACACTTACCACCAGGACACTGGGAAAACAAAATCAAAAAGGAATGAAGAGAACCAGGCCTAAGGAAAATAGGAACAGAAAATCAGGGTGAGATAAAAAGAGGACCACAGCTGTGTGGACAATGAAGGCCAAACAGTTGTGATAGTTGAAATTCAAATTTAGCTACCTAAAATATTCCTAGTGTCAAAGCAAGAATGGGCTATGCTGTTCTTCAAATACTTCTTGGTGCTAGGGAGGAGAAAAGGGTCTGATTGCTCGGAAGAATACACATTTGGCCATACATTCAGCAAGTGTCTATTAAATGCTCACCACATGCCAAGGCCTATCAGAGATAAAGAGGCTACATGCTGCAGCTCAGCATCTCAGGGAGACTGGGGGAAGGAAGTGTACTTGCATACCCACTGTGTGTCAAACACTGTGCACTGAAATAAGTGCCTATTGTGTGCACATACTGTATGCTTCTGTATACATGTGTTTGTGTATTTTATATGCATGGATGTTTGTATGTATACAGATGTGTCTGCACAGGGGCACCAGAGGACAACCTCTGCTGTTGTTCCTCAAAAACAAAGCAAAACAAAACAAAACAGGGTCTGGATAGATGTCTTAGTAGTTAAAATGCTGAACTGCTCTTATAGAGGAACTAGGTTGTGCTCCCAGCACCCATATCAGGCAGCTTGTAACTCCAGCTGCAAGGGGTCTAACACCCTCTGGGTTCCTTGAGTACCTGTAAGCATGTGGCACACACAAAGTCATTCAGTAAACACACATACACATACAAATAAAATCAATAATAAATCTAATAAATCAATCAATAGGTCTTTTAAAAAGGTTTCATTCAAATTTTATCACATACATTTATTGGTTTGCTTGCTTATTTATTTATCATGCCATTGTGTGTGTGTGTGTGTGTGTGTGTGTGTGTGTGTGTGTGTGTGTGTGTGTGTGTAGGTTAGAGAACAACCTGATGGAGTTGGAGTTGGTTCTCATCTTTCCTGTGGGATAGGAGGCAAGTGCCTTTAGTTGCTGAGTCATTTCATCAGACCTACTTTGTCTTTTCAGACAAGAGTTTTTCCCTGGCCTAGAACATAGCAAGTCAGCTAGTCAGGGAGTCTCAGAGACATATATTTCTACCTCTCTAGGTCTGGAATCACAAGTCTGAGCAACCACATCCAGTCTTTTTCATGTGGGTTCTAGGGATTGAACTCAGGTCTTTGTGCTTGTGAGACAAGCTCTTTACCAACTGCCAGCAAGTCTTTATCTCTTTGGCCTGATACTATGCTTTTAGTTATGCATTAAGTATGCGTGCACTGCATTCAGAGACTATATTTTTAATTGTGTAACATGTCAGAAACCATGCTTTTAATTATGTGCCTACTGTGTGTCAGACAGTAGGCATTTAATTATGTACTTGTATATGACAGGTATGATTATTTTTCCTTAACTTTCAGAAACACTTCTGTCAAACGAATATTATGATCCCCCCTAGGAGAAAGCAGACTTCAGCTGTAGTTTGGTCCAGGTCAAAGCCATCAGGTTTTACACAGTGAATACCATTGATGGTTCCCATTTTCCATGATCAAACCCTGCTTGCCTTGCTAACAGAACCTCAGTACTTTTTTTTATTAAGATTCGTTTTCATTTATGTGTGTGTCTATGCTACCTAGAAGAACAGCAGGTGCTCTTAACCAGTGAGTTGTCTCAGTCCTCAGCTTTGTTCAATTCCCTGTTTCTTAAAATAGCAAAGTCAAGGGACAGTGACCCATTCTCAGCTCTTGGGATAGAAACTAAAGAGCATGTGACATTCTCCTTAGGTACAAGCTAGGCTAGGGTACGATGCCCCTCATTTTCAGCGGTGACCTAGTATACCTGTGTGATATATTATTTATGATTTATTAAAGCTTGCCTGAGGATTCAGAAAGTAAAGCTAGCCTTGACTATAGAGATCAGGCAGTAGAGGTGCACACCTTTAATCCCAGGACTCGGGATTAAGAGGTAGAGGAATCCCTCTGAGTTCAAGGCCACCCAGGGCTACACAAAATCAAATCAGAGGTCATGCCTTTAATCTCAGCACTAGAGAGGTATAAGAGATAGGAGCAGGGTCTCAGAGCTGGAATTCAGTCTGAAAATTAGTCTCTAGCCATGTTCAGGCGAGCATAGCGGTCTGAGTGAATCTGAGGAGAAGCGAGGTTGGGAGCAGTCTGATGATCTCCCTTTTGGTCTGAACTGAGGTAGAGGTAAGAGCTAGTGACTGACTGCTTTGCTTATCTGAGCATCAGCTTGAACCCCAAAATCAGTCTCTGGGTCTTTTATTTTCCATGCTACATACCTGGGGTTCCAGTCCAATCCTCGATATCACAGAAACAAACCAGGAAGAACATCTATTCCATGTCTGGAAGGTTTTCCCTTTCTTGCTGGATGTAAACTAGTAGGTGTGTATCAGTGCTGGCAGCATTTCTGTGACTTCTGCCGTTAGTTCCTGCAGGATGAAACCTTCCCTTCTGGAAAGAGACTCAGGAAGCTCCTGAAAGCCTTGAGTCCCGACCCCTTCCCAAAGTAAGAAGAGCCTCTGAGGAGAGAAGGGGTGGGGCTGCTGGCAAGTCTTGCAGGAACCCTGGGGTTGCAACCGTGGTGAGCTGGTATGCACTCTGCAATCCAGCCTGAGATCCATGTGATCCTGTCCCGAAACAAAACCAAATTAGTTATGAAAAAGTACAGTAACTCTGCCCTTGGAGCACATTAGGAACCATTGCAGCCCTAGGAAAAGACCTTTAAGAAGGAGACTAAAAAATCTCCAAATGACATCTAGTTGTGTTTTCCCCTTCTACCTTCAGTTTATTCATGCAGGACGCATGCTGTGACCAGACCCAGCGCCCTTGAACTTCGTTGACCTTGCATTCCTTTCTAACAGGTCCTTCCCTTCCCTGGAGGAGGAGCTCAGAGGTTAAGTGACAGTTTGTCCCTGTTCATCTTTCATACCCATTCCTCCCTGACTGGGAGGCGAGCATTACAAGCCAGCACCCTCGGGCCGACTGCTAAGAGAAAAATCCTGGCATGGAGAGAGCTGCCAGCTGGTCCCATACCCACATCTTTTCAGTAAATTTCCCTCAAGCATATGTACACATACAAATATGCCTTCTGTTGAACGCAGTGAAATCATCTTCTGCAGAGGCTTTGGAGACAGGAGACCATGGAGTCAAAGCTGTGATTTGGGGCTAAGTACAGTTGTTATGCAGCAAGACCCTATGTCACCCTAACTTTCAGGTGTGAAATTTGAATATTGAGCACATTTGTATGGCCTCCAGACCCTTAATTGTCAGTGTCCCAGGAAAGGTTTGTCCACCCTGGCTAAGATGCTAACATTAAGCCTCAGCTCAAGTCAGGTTGAAACAGTCCCTCCCGGAGACTTAAGAAGAAAAAGAGGCCAGGCATGGAGGCACGTCCTGTTAATCCCAGCCTTGGGAAGGCAGAGGCAGGCTGATCTCTTGAGTTCAGGTCATCCTGATCTATGGCAAGTCCAGGACAGCCAAGGTGTTCTGTGTTCTGACTAGTTTTATGTCAACTTGACACAACCTATAGTCATCTGAAAGGATTGACTCAATTGAGGAAAGGCCTCCATATGAGCCAGCTGTAGCAAGCCTCTTGGGCATTTTCTTAATTAGTGATCAATGAGGGAGGGCCCAGTCCATTGCAGATGGTGCCACCCCTGGGCAGGTATTCCCAGATTCTGTAAGAAAGCAGGTTGAACAAGCCATGAAGAGCAAGCCAGTAAGCGGCATCCCTCCATGGCCTCTGCATCAGTTCCTGCCCTGCTTGACTTCCTGCCCTGACTTCCTTCAGTGATAAACAGTGACAAGGAAGCATAAGCCAAATAAACTCTTTCCTGTCCAAGTTGCTTTGGTCATGGTGCTCATTCCAGCAACCCTAACGAGGACACAGGGCTACATAGAAAGACCCTACGCAAAAACAAACAGACAAAAGGACTCAGGAAACTCAGGAAAGTTTCAAGATTAACAGGGTCCCTCCCTTCTCCAATATTATGTTATTTATTTGTAGTGTGTGTGTGTGTGTGTGTGTGTGTGTGTGTGTGTGTGTGTGTGTACAGTCATTTGCTGGGGAATGAACCCATGGTCTCACGTGTGCTAGGCAGATTCTCTGTCACTGAGTTACATCCCTAGTTGGGATTACCTTACTGATTTGTGTATATGTGGTCCATCTAGCATGGGAGTGTGAGCCCCATGATCGTATCTTTTGTCCACTGATGGATCCCCAGCACCTCGCCCTTTCTCCACATACTGAGTGTGTCCTTCTCTTGGACCTGTCGGTCACTGCACCTGCAGGTGAGGCCACACGTAATGGTCTCCTTGCTGTGACAAAAATAGCTGACAGCAGCAATGGAAGGAAGGAAGGAAAGGAAAGTTTATCCTGGTTTACAGTTCAACAGGATGTGTTCCTGGGAATGCATAATGGCAAGAGCAGGAGGCTGGCTGGTCACACTCTATCCACAGCCAGGAAGCAGAGAGTGAACAGGAAGTGGGAATGGGCTAGCAGACCTGAAGACCCCCCCCCCAGTCATCCACTTTCTCCAGCAAGGCTTTCCTCCCAAAGGTTCCATGACTCTCCCAAACAGCACCACCAACTGGACACCAAGTGTTCAAACATCTGAGCCCTGTGGAGGACATTTCACATTCAAATCACAGCATCATCTTGTTTCTCTACCTAACCCCTGGCTTTCTGCTTCTCCTGTCCTCTTGGGAGGCCAATTAGAGGTTGCAATGCAGGAGACCTGGGCTAGTCAAGTGCTGGGGAGCACAAACTGTAAGCACAGGGTCGTCTGGCTCCTGTGTTGACTGAGGGCAGAGGGTGGGGGAGTTGACTCCTGTGTTGGCTGAGGGACTGGGAGAGGGCTGGAGTTCCACTGGGAGACAAGCAACAAGTTACCTACAATTCAGCGAGGTGGTCTTGATGAAGCCAGCTCTAGGCGGCTAGGGACGCAGAAGAGCTAAATGCTCTCTCCTGGGGACGGTCATGGAAGTTTCCAGAGGAGAAGAACTTGGACTAAAACTTGAAGAATGAGTGGGAGCAGGGGTAAGAGCATCAAAGCAAGGTGGGTTTGGTTCAGATATCGTCATGGTCTGCCATACGAGATGCTCTCCTACAACAGTTTGGTGTCTCTCTCTGTGAAAGATTGACTTTGAGCTTTAGACTTTAGACATGTAGGACTCGCAGCAGTGGAAACATGGACAGTTCTTAACCCTTTCCAATTATGGGGGTGGCAAATACCTCCTATTCCTCTGGTGCCCTCCATCCCTTCCTTGTTACCTTGTTTGAGGACAAGCCTTCCTCCTGGCAAACGACCTGCCACTCCGCAACACAAAGATGAAGCCATAGGCTGGGACTGGAGCTCAGTCGGTATAATACTTTCCTAGCATGTACAAAGCCCTGGATCCTACCTCAGCACTCTATAAGACTGAATGTGGTACAGGCCTAGTGCCTGCCAAACACAAAGGCCTCAGTGTCATCCCCAGCCCTGTATGAACCAGGCACACACTGACGGTACCAGCCCTTGGAAGTTGGAGGCAGGAGGCTCAGAAATGAAAAACTGCTGGGGAGTGAGTGACACATTTGCCCCACAAGCATGAGGGCCTGAATCTGTATCCCCAGAGTCCACTCAGAAGGGGAACTCTTTAAATATGCCAAATCCCTTTCTGGACCCTTTTTCAGAGTGACCCCTGAGCAGTAGCCTAGCTAGTCTTCTGTTTTCTGGTCTCTGTCACCTGGATCTTAGGTCCTGGGGCTAGTGGTGACCTGGCACAATTCCTGGTGTTGGTGGCTCTGTGGAAGCTCCACCCATTGTCATTACACATTCCAAGCCCCTAACCAGGCAAGCGTGAGGAACAACACAGACGCCATCTGAAGAAGTGAACATTTGGGAGCCACCAGTAACAGCCTCTCTGGTGGAGTCTGCTCCTGTGGGGAAGTTACCCATGTCTGCCTCTCCTTCCCACACTGTCCTTTCCCCCTGCACTTCTCTGGAAGGAGGAGTCATGAGCTCATGTCTCAGAAATGCTTTGAAGATGAGAATCACTGAACATTTCCCCAACAGCCCTCAATTTACTTTTTCAGCATTCTCTCTGGGTTGTCAAGCCTTTGTAGTTATTTTTATAAATAGCAATCGCTGGCTGCTTCCATTTTTACCCAGGACAGTTCCACCTCCGGCTGGATCGGATGTCATTCTGCAACTGACAGCCCTCCAGGCTGGACTTGCCCCTGTTTCTCCTGATGATATCGTCTCTGTATCTCCCTCCTGCCGCTGCAGAGCCCATGCTCATTGTCAAGTGCATTTGCAATGCCGTCCTATCTGTTTATAGCCAAGCTTTTGACCTGCTCAGGTTGCTCCTCTATTCCCACAAGACCCCAGTTCTCCAACATGGCACCCAAAGCTGTCATCATTCAGCCATTGTTCTCCTGCTTGGTTGCATTTCTGGCCTTGTCCCTTACCACACTTGGGCTCAGACATCTTGAACTCTCCAATATTGCTTAACATAGAAAGCTTAGTCATGGGCTAGAGATGTAGCCCAGTTAGTCTGAAGTCCTTGCCTAGGATGGATGAAGTTCCTTTCATTCATGCATGAACTGGGCATGGTGGTGCACTCCTGTAATCTCTGCACTTGGGAGATGGAGGCAGGAGAACCAGAAGTTCAAGGCTGAACTGGGAAGATGGCTCACTGGGTAAATCACACACATAAGGACCTGAGTTTAGGTCCCAGAACCCATATAAAGGCTGGATGCAGTAGGGCATGTCTGTAATTCCTTCTGGGGCAAGATGGAAGACAGAGACAGTAAAGCCTTTGCAAGCTCATGGGCCAGCTAGCCTGATGTACACAGAGGCATGAAACCCTATCTCAAAGGAGAAGGCTAAGCCCTATTTCTGAGGTTGTACTCTGACCCCCACACACATGCTTTGACTTACTCATACCTATATTCACACACACAAAGAAGTTGAAGATAATTTGCAATTGCTAGAGAGTTAGAGGCAAGACTGGATATACCAGGCCCTTTCTAAGAAAAAAAAAAGGTAGGAAGAAAGGAAGACAGACAGACAGGAGAGAGAGAGAGAGAGAGAGAGAGAGAGAGAGAGAGAGAGGGAGGGAGGGAGGGAGGGAGGGAGGGAGGGAGGGAGGGAGGGAGGGAGGGAGGGAGGGAGAGGGAGAGGGAGAGAGACAGAGAGACAGAGACAGAGAGACAGAGACAGAGAGACAGAGACAGAGACAGAGAGAGAGGCAGAGAGAAAGGCTGCTTTAAGCCATGTCTCTTGGTTAGGAAAGTGTCAAGTTCATAGAAAACAAAGTGAATTTAGGCCAGTGGGATGGCTCAGTAGGTAGAGGCGGGAGTGCATAAAGCCTACTGACTTGAGTTTGATCCCTGGGGTAAAATACAATTTGAAGGAAAGGCCCAATCCACAGAGATGTCCTCTGATGTCTACACATGTGTTATAGTGTTGGGCCCCAGCCCCATGGGGTCTCTGTGAGTTGCTGGTCAGCCTACAAGTGCAACTTGTTTTCCAGTCCAAGTGCTTTCTGTTTTCTAGTCCTGCCTTACTGCCCTGGCCTTGACCCTCTGACATCAACATCCAGCAGGAGGAAAAC